AAGAAGAATAAATATTTATGAGACCAAGGTTGGCACACCAGGGAACTAAAATGCCACAGTTCCCAGTGAGATGAGTACTGGCAAGAGGAACTTGGAGACGGCGGCAGGAGTTTAAATTTTATTCTAAGTAGCAATGGAAGCTATTGGAGGATTTAGAACAAGAATGACACGATCTGACAGACATTTTACGAAGATCACTCTGGCTCTTGCGTCTAGAATGGACTGTAGTAAAATTGGAAGCACAGAGACCTGGGAGGAGGCTACTGCTAGCATGGAGCTTGGTTTAATCAAGTGAGATGGGAAAGTATTTTATAATTTATAATGTAATATAAAAATGATACCAGCTATTAATAATACTAGCTGTTTTCAGGTTAGAATATTCATGCCTGGTTTAAAAATGCACATAAATACTAACAGTTCTAACATGAGGCTGTTTAGGGAGTGGATTAGCCTGAGCTTTGTAGGTGAAAGATTCAAATACTGATGCCCTTAAAAACTGGTGGTCTCCGTCAAGCTATTTCACCTCTCTAAGTCTCATTTTTCTCACTGTGAAGTGGAATAAGAAGCATTCATTCCCATTTAAGATGCTGTGAAGCTTCTGTGGGGTAATCGGTGAACAGAATTAGGCCCAGTGCCTCTTGGACCCCAAATTAGTGCTCAATCACATTAGCTATTCCCTAAACAGCCTCATGAAGATATCTTCAATATCTTCTCCAATAAAATGAGGACACTAAAAACTACTTCATAAAGAACTTAATGGGATAAAATAGACAAAACCCTAGTCCAACAACATGTGACACTCAGTTGAAGCTCAGTACATAAGTATCTAAATGACAAACTGTCATAGTGAGGGACACCACTGATGTCACTGTAACTGCTGTTAAGAGTAATGAAGACAGAAAATGGTTCAAATTTTATAGGTCAGATTGACAATCACACTCTTAGAATACGAAATGAAATTTTTCTCTAGTAAATTACATATACTCCAATGGCTTAACAAAGTTAACATGCCCTCCATTCTTCACACAAAAAGTAAATGCCCCTTCACCCTCGTTAGCATCCAGTCTGTCACTATGTGCCGGCATGGACAGAAAACATAAGTGCTGCAGACATTTCAGTCTTGCGTTAGTGTCTGCTACTTCCTTGGGTTTCTGCTGCTGAATTCAATATCTACAATTACCATCAAGGATGAAAACCAAAACAAAGCCAAGATGAAAATGATTACTCCCAAGGAGAGTAGAGAGACTGCAGAAGACAGCCTTAACCACTGAACTTTGTACCTAATTCAGTAAAAAGGAAAGACTCTCCCTCGTAAATGGCCAAAAATTCCAGAAAACAAGGATTATGTCTCTGTTCTTTAGATGAAACTACTTCATGTTTCTATGAATTTGACTATTCTAGGTACCTCATATAAATGGAATCAAACAGTATTTGACCTTTTTTTGTGACTGGCTTATTTCACTTAATGTCTTCAAGGTTCATCTATTTTGAGCATTGTCAGAATTTCCTTCCTTTTTATCTGTACTGTTGTTGATGGACACCTGGGTTGTTTTCATTTTGGGGCTATTGTGAATAATGCTGCTATGAACATACAAATACCTGTTTGAGTCCCTGCTTTTACTTCTTTTGGGTATATACCCAGAAATGGAATTGCTGGATCAATGGTAATTGTTTAATTTTTTGAAGAATCATCATACATACCACTTCCACAGAGGCTGCAACCATCTCAGATTCGCACCAGCAAAGTACAAGGGTTCCAATTCCTCCACATCATCTCCACCACATATTATTTCCTGCTTTTTTGATGGTAGCCATCCTCGTGGGTGTGTCAGAATCCTTCTTAATACAGCACTCAGACAACTATTATTAACTGATCAAAACTGACAAGTGAGATAAAAGTCATTTGTTATTTCTAAAGTGTTATTATGATGCAAGGGAACTTCAAAACGTTCATGAAAAAATAGAATTAAAAGATAATACAAATCTTTCCATGAGCGTTTTGAAGTACCCTCGTATTTCTCTAAAGCAATTATGAGATTTGTATTTTTCAACATGAGCTTATAACTGTAGGATTTACCAGGTAGCGATGGTCATGGTGTTACTGGGGTTGTACATATGGCTATTTGAAATGGGGGCTGGGTTGAGTGGGTAAGACAGGAAACCAAGAGAAACAAAGGACACCAGGGCTGCCTATATGCAGAATGGCCAGGCAATGGAGACGAAGCATGACAGAGGCTCTGCATAAAACAGGACTGGGAGACGGTCTGAGGTCAGGTCCAGGGAAAACATCAAGTCTAATAACTAGGGGGATGGGGGAACGCAGGCAGTCTCCATATCCTGGCTTAAGTGGTGTATTAGTCCGTTTTGTGTTACCATAACAGAATACCTGAGACTGGGAAATTTATAAAGAACAGAGGTTTATTTGCTTATGATTCTGAGACAGCTGCATCTGCTGCAGGCCTCAGGCTGCTGCTTCTCATGGCAGAAAACATTGAGCAGCCGGCAGGTACAAGCAGATCACATGGTGAGAGGAAGCAAGAGAGAGAGAGAAAGGAGGTGCCAGGGTCTTTTAAACAACCAGCTCTTGCACCACATGGTGAGAGGAAGCAAGAGAGAGAGAGAAAGGAGGTGCCAGAGTCTTTTAAACAACCAGCTCTTGCAGGAACTAATAGAGTGAGATCTCACTTAGGTACCCCTCCCCCAGGGAGAGCATTAATCCATTCATGAGGGATCTGCCCCCGTGACTCAAACAGCTCCCAACACTGCCATATTGGGAATCAGATTTCCACATAAGTTTTGGTGGGGACAACATATCCAAACTCTATCAAGTAGTAATAGGATTTCTTTTCCTTTTCTTTCTTCTGGTTTCTTCCCTCTATCCTTTACCTATGCATCCATGCTTTGAATGATCTAGTTTTTTGATATTTCCCCAAGTGCAGGGTTCCAAGAATGACTCAGGAATACCATTCACATTGTGTCCATGTGAACACTACCTGGACTTGTGCAGTGTGCAACCTGCACAGCAATACAGGACAGCCATGCCCAATGAAACCCAATAGTAACACATTATGAAATATTATAAATGTGCATTTACACATCTGACAGTCTGAGTTTTTTTAATGAAAGCTTTTGCTGTTTTGACTTTATAATTGTTTTATGCAAATTAATAAAATATGTGATGATGTGTATGCGCATATATATGTAACATATATACACACAAAGTTATTGTCTATGGCCTTTTTATAATAGTAAAACGGAAAATGTCCATTAATACGGTANCAATACAGGACAGCCATGCCCAATGAAACCCAATAGTAACACATTATGAAATATTATAAATGTGCATTTACACATCTGACAGTTTGAGTTTTTTTAATGTAAGCTTATGCTGTTTTGACTTTATAATTGTTTTATGCAAATTAATAAAATATGTGATGATGTGTATGCGCATATATATGTAACATATATACACACAAAGTTATTGTCTATGGCCTTTTTATAATAGTAAAACGGAAAATGTCCATTAATACGGTACTGGTTAATTAATTATAGCAGATCCATACAGCTGTAAAAAGAAGAGGAAAGCACTTTATGTACTGATATGGAAAGACTACTAAGACATACCATTACATGAAAACAGATAAATGAGTATTGTATGCTACTGTTTTTGAAAAAGATGGGGAAATGGAGTATATGTACACTGAATGTACAATATTTGCTTGCATGTGGATGAAATATCCCTCGAAGTGTACGTACAAAGTACAGTGGTTCTCTGTGGGAGGGGAATTGGGTACACAGGAGATGGATAAAAGAAGAATTTTTTATATATCCTTTCATGTTTTTTAAATTAAATTTTCAACTGTGGGAATGTACTCCATCATCTTTCTGATGTGCATTCCTGAGCGGTAGAGAACAGAAAGCTACTGGCTCCATCCCAGACTCCAGTGCAGCTGGGGACAGAGAATAAGGTTCCATGAACTCCATGTACTTTGATGAGACGGAAATGGGTGAACAGCATCTTCCTGCTGCTTTAGGCTGTGGTTGCTGGCTAGCAAGGACATGGGTGTTGAGAAACAATTGTGGCACAGGTGTTGGCACCTGGACACTTTGTTCTAGTGCCCAGTCACCAGCTTCCTGGGTGCTGCTATGAGGCAGTTCTGGTGATAACATTTACTTCCTGATCCTACTTGCTGATTCCTGGATTGCAGCTACAGTGTTGTTCTTACCTCAACAACTCCACTAGCAGCCTCCTGACTCCCTGAATCCCTGTGTAAGGCACAGGCTGCACCTCCCCTGGCAGGTCAGCCTGGAGGCTGCTGGAGGTTCAGGAAGTTGTTCCTGAACACCCACCAGGAATTCACTCCTCTCACCCTCCTAACGATTCTGTAAGCGTTTTCAGCTTCCAATATTATAGTCCTTTCTGCTGAAAAGACCTACAGTAGTTTCTAGTTCCTGCAATGACCCTGACTGATTAAATTACATATTAAAAATTTAAATAAATTTTTAAAATGGAAGTCACTACTAAGAAAAAATTTAATTCTTAAAAAGGATTTCTTGATAAACATACCTCTGCAGATGCTTTGACTTTTTAAAAATTCTTTTTATCTTAATAAATCATCAAAGCTGAAAAGACCTACAGTAGTTTCTAGTTCCTGCAATGACCCTGACTGATTAAATTACATATTAAAAATTTAAATAAATTTTTAAAATGGAAGTCATTACTAAGAAAAAATTTAATTCTTAAAAAGGATTTCTTGATCAACATACCTCTGCAGATGCTTTGACTTTTTAAAAATTCTTTTTATCTTAATAAATCATCAAATATTTAATGTGTGTACAGGCTTAAAAATAGATGAGGTAATTTAATACTTATACAGTCAGATTAGAAATAAATGTCTATGTGAATATGTGAGAAGATTTGCATTTGTGTGTGCGTGTGTGAAGAGACAGACACAATTTGTATTCTCAATAAAATTCTAGGAGCAGAAGACAAATTCAAATATTTCTTGTTCTTTGTTTTTATTTAACTCAAAATAGCTAATAACACAAAAACATTTAAAAAATAACTCCAATACTTGCTTATTCCGTTAATTTTGGTTATGACACTTGATTATTTAGTTCTTGCTTGTTTCTAACATGTAGTAACATAATCTATCCTAAAACATATCTTTAAAAGTTTGCAGCAGGCTTCAACCCTGCATATTTAGATCCTAATCAAAAACCATGATATAGTTATTAGTTGGGATTTTAAATATTTTTCTTCCACACAGAATCTTATTAAAACTAATAACCATAAATAGGCTAGCTTTTAATTAGTTTTCAATGAAATGTCCACATACAGCATATATGTACAGGTAGCATATATGCTTTTATACTTTACTACTCAAAATATGACTGTCTATATGATATACAGTGGAGTTATATCATACACACATCTAACTTACATTAACTCAGTAATGAGGTCAGTGAAAAGGAACCCATAAGGACAGTGACATGAAATCCTGCAGCAATACCACCTATTCAATGCATGCACGCTTTTACGCAAACCCAAAGGGCGTCGTCCATCTGCAGCTCCTTTAGTCATTGTCAATTCACATCTGCCTCTTAGAGGGCAAGTGTCTCACAGGGCTACGTGTGTTTCTAGTGTTTACCTATATGTGCTTTTTATACAAAATGGCCCCCAAACACACACCAGCAACTTAATTTGCTTGTCAAATGAAGAAACACTCATTTCTTCCCACACTGGAGGAAAAACTGGTTGTGGTTGATGTAGAGATTTCCAATATTGTGCCTTTATAAAGGGCTTTCAAGGATTATCCTAATATCCCATTCTATCTTATCTGCTGATGTTAGAAGCTAACCCTTGGATATGATGCGACTCCACTGTAATGTAAATTAAAATGCCATCCCATTGTCAGTATAATTTAATTTCCAGTTTAGGTCCTTCCTCACATTTAGCATGGTGGATTTCTGTGACACTCTCCTGGTGCCAGCACTTCAAAAGGTACCATCACTGGCTGAGAAAATCTCATGGAGACGAGTAGTGTATTATAAGATTTGAAGAAAAAAGCTATCAAAGTCGATCAGTCTCAGTTTGATTCAGGATATGATTTTCAATTAGCAAATGGTGCGTCTGAAGCAGAGAGTAACTTTGTTCTGTTACACTCAGTGCTTCTAGGAATCCACTGTAGCCATCCTTTCATGGGTTTCGAAGTTGGCAGCTGCATTCTATTTCTTAAAACACTTGGCCTTAACCTGACCACGACCCTGATTCAGTTTCTATTTTTAAAAGCACCATTCTAATAGAAAGATCCCTGCCCCGAATTAAGCTAGGATGGTGAATTTTACCACTAGCTACAGCTGTTATGTCATAGAGTTTAGGTTAATTTGGTAGATATTGATTTCCTACGACTTTGAAACGTGCTTCAGCTTCCTTTAGCCACGTAGGATTTCTACCTGGGCTGTAGATGAGGGTAAAATATCCCATGGAGAACTCCTTCAATAACAACATTTGGAAAATCTGAAAAACAAAGAGAAAATGGGTTTTCTTATGTGCATCAATAAAATATAACTGCATTTCGTAGAATTTACCAAGGCAAGGCCCACTCTAACTCAGGAATCTGTACCACCACGCGGTCTGCCCTTGTTTAGGATACGCTATCAGTCATGCTGCTTCAGCCCAAAGCTGGTTTAGTGCACGGCCCAGTGCTGCAGGAATGCACGGCCAGATTTGTAGCTTATTGATTTAAGGGATGTTCTAATGGTTAATGCTGCTAGGCCCCAGCTCTTTATCTGAATGTTTTCTCACAAGGAAGATGGATTACACTGGCAATTCAATTTCTAACAAAATCTCAATATACTTGAAGGAATTCCAAGATTTCTACAGGGAATACTTTGCTGCAGTTTTTCCATTGTGGTTTACGGCAGCATTTAGTCCAAGTTGTCTTGAGTATACTTGGTCTATTACACTACCTTCCAGAGAGCAGTAAGATGAGGGCCTGTGTTCCTAACTTAAATGGGCAACTTTCTGACAAGAGCCGTCCTGACAAACATGAAAAATCAGCTACCTTTTTATAGGAGATACAAAGGAAACCCAGAGGGCACAGTATGTTGTACTACATTCCAGTTATCAGAGTAGATAAAATATGAATGGATTATTTGAATGGGAACCAATCTGTCTCGTGGTTCAAAAAGTTTAATTTCTAAACTACAATCTATACATAATTATACCAGGGACTATGCTAACGCTGAGCACTTTAAATAAATATAGTAGTTACTATGTAAGAAAATTAAGTGATCCAAAACTTTAAGATAAATATGTTCATTTATTAATCCAACCTCTATAGAGTACCTACTATGTAGAAACACGTAGAAGGGGACTGGGCCTCATCAGGGGAGGAAGAAAGGCTCTCAGAGGCAAGGACTAGGCAGAGGTTGCTAATCAGGTGGAAAGTCTATGGCAGTAGGAGCCCAGAGTGTCCAGAGACCTAAACGGAGGCCAGTTCAGTAAGAGCAGTGGGTGAGGAGGCAGTAGGGCAGAGCTGCCAAGCCACACCGGGGAAGAACAGACAGGCATTCTGGTTTTATCGGAAATGTGATGAGAAGCTATTGAAGGACTTTAAGCAGAGTGAGAAAGGAACAAATTGTGTTTGAAAAGGTGACTCTGGCTGTCATTTGGAGAATGGACTAAAGCAATCTCAAAGTGGACACAGGAGCTCAGTTCAGTGCAGTAGCTCAAGAGCCTGAATGATCATGGTGGGATGGAGAGGAGTGGAGGGATCCTAGAGAAATGAGGGATGGGACCTGGTGCTGGAGTAGATGTGGCTAGTGAGGGAAAGGGAGGACGTCTCTTGGGTTTTCAGCTTGCATAACCAGACAGGTGGTGAGAGAAGACCTGGAATGGGAGTAAAATAGAAGATGATCAATTCAGTTTTAGACTTGTTGAGTCTGAGTCACCCTTGAGATTTTCTAAAGGGGAAGTCCAGTAAGTAGCTGGGTATAATGACAAGTTCACCTCAACAAACGTTTATTGAGAGGCCTCTGTGTCCTGGATCAGTCACTTCATAGCTGTGTGACATTAGGTGAGTTATTTATGTCTCTGTGCCTTCCTTTCCTCAATTATGAAATGGATTTTACAACAGTACCTACCTTCTAGATTGTTGTAAAAATTGATGAGTGAAACAAAGCTTAGACATGAACCTGGCAGACAGTAAGTACCAGCTATTATTATGTACCAAGTGCTGTTCTAATTATCAGAAACAGAAGTAAATAACATTCCCTGTCCATGCCATGCCATGCCATAGGAAGACAAGCAAATGAACAAATAAAATATGTTTTAAAAATACCTCCAATACATGAGGATCCAGTTACTTTTTGGTTAACAACACTGGTTTGTTAGTGTATGCCCGATATGAAGTAACAGTTTTCATAAAACATATCTTTAAAAGCTTGCAATGAGCCTTACACCTGTATATCCACAACCCACTCAAAATCAATGATTTAACTAAGTTAATTTTAATTCTAAATATATTTCTTCCACATAGAAGTATATTAAAACCAATAGCCATAAATAGCACTACTGATTAATCTTCAACAAAATGCCTAAATAGGAAATATTACATGAAAGTAGCATGTATGCCTTCATTCTTTACTGTCCAAAATATAAAAGTCTATTTGGAGTTTAGTGGAATTACATCATAAGCATAGTTAGCTTAAATATATGCAACTAAATAAGGTGAGCAATAAAGAATGAAAAGGAAAGTAATATTAAGTACTGTGGGTAATTCTACAGCACTGTTAATACGTCAAGCAGAGGTTTAAGGGCAAGGAAAACAATCACGCAGGACACAGGTCTAGAGAGGGGCAGGAGATGGGAAAGTGAGGGAAGACCCTGAGTGTAGGCGCCACTGGAGCCAAGACAGGAATGAAGGGGCGAAGCCACCAGCTGGGAGGGTACCTGCGAGCAGGGCACTCCCAATGGGGGACGCGGCAAGTACTGAGGCCTTGTGTTCATCGTCCTCCAAGAGCTGAGCTTATACTGGATGCTGGAGTTTTAGAGGGTAAGTATGACAGAGGGAGAAAGAGAAAAGGAGAACCAAGGCAAGACAGTGTGTGAGCATTACAAGGAAGAAGCAAACAGGCTGCTCTAATAAAAAGTGAATGGGATGGAGGTATTTTATAAGGTCCACCAACTGATCAACGACAAGATAAACAGGTTGTTTTTTCTTTTTTCTCATCTGTTCCACTTCACTTTAAACTTTGCACTGTGGCTCTATCATATTCATGATTTAATACAATGTCCATTATTGCATGAATTATTCAGCAACTGTCCTTGCCTTTGTTTCCCATTGACAGGTACTGAGAAGGAATGTGACTCCGGGTAGGGTGGTTGATAATTTTGCTGGTTTTCATTAATTTAATAAACATTATTTGTGAAGCTAAAAATAAAGTGTATGGGGTAGAGGCTGCTTTAGAGAGAGTCAGCAAAGGCCTCTGATGCTGGGACACTGAACATGGGACTGAAAGAGGAGAGAGCCCACCAGGTGCGGAGAGAGGAAGAGCAGGTGCCCTGAGAGGGAGGGAGGTCACCTGCATGAGGCCCACGCAGAACTGCGGGGCGGCTGCAGCAGCGTGTGTGAGGGGTCCCGGCAGACACACGAGCCAGGGCAGGCCATGGAGGGCCTCATGCAAGTGCCTGGAGCTCGCGGGATAGGGCCAGATGGAAACACAGAGCCGTGACTCAGCTGCATGCACCAGGTAGTCAAGGCCAACAGCAAGGAGATTATTCAAAAGAAAGCGTTGTGAGAAGAGGAGGCGTCTGTAACAGCCTTCGAGGGAGCTGCCAGACACCAGAAGAAAAGTGGGAAAGCCACATGGAGGCAGTGTTTGAAGGAGGAGAAAGTGGTTGGCGTGTCTGAAGTTGATGAGAGGCCAAGAAAGATGAGTACTGAAAACTGTCTGTAGAGTTTAGCTGCACTGAAGTCATTGGAGACCTTGGCAAGAGTTGTTTTGAATTCCCAGAAAAATCAAACCAAAGACCAAAAAGCACTTGCTTTTCAGTCTGTTAAGAGGGTATTCTCTCAAATTCTGATGTTGAAAGCAAAGAAGATAATGTTCGATTATTAGCATTTTATAAGAGGATAATGTTTAATTGTCAGGACATTAAAGACAGACACTCCTCTGACTTTGTGAGGGTCAGTATATGTGTAAAGATATTTCCATATTCAATATCCTCTAGAATAATAACCTCGACACCTTGCTATGAGGCCTGACACAAAAGTTTCTCTTTAAATTAAATACTGAAGATTTGCAAAAATATATCATTAGTATATCATTCTAAAACAACAGGAATCTGATTTATAAAACAGGATTAGCCAAAATTCCAAGAAAACAGATCTGCTGACCTGCCCTCCCATACCTGGTTTCATGCTACCCATCAAACCTGTGATTTCCATTTACTCTCAATCAGGAATCCCCATATTTGGCAAGTCTTCATCCACACTACCATGCTCCCAGTGATACATCCTTTTTACTCGTTCTAGCTCCAGACATTTGACCCTGACGCTCTTTCTCAGAAAGTTCCTCCTGTTCTTCATTGTCAAGCTAGGTGCATAGCACACAGTAGGTGCTGCTCAGTAAGCTGGGTGAATTGGATTGAAGGGTCATTAAATATCTTCCCCTTTCCATCAAGTATCCTGGCTGTAATAGTCATTAGTGATCATTCCACTCTACACTTCTGCAGGAATTTCAGTCAGATGCATGAAATATCTGAGCATAGCAATACCTGGAAAAAGTCCTTTTGGAGCCATTTTTAAAGATAATAAGAACACATTGCAAAACATCATTCGTTTAATCTAGGTTTGACAGGCTGCATTATACTATTTGTTAAATATTTTAACATAACATGCATATTTGTTAGACATGGGAAGCAAAAGCTTAAAAGAAGCAATTATTTCTCACTTAAAGGATTTTATAGAAAAACATTATGAGACCATGTTTTTATATAGCAAAGGCAGCTCTCTGATCAGGGTGCTAGGAAGGGTGCCTTAGTGGAGCAGGGCTGTGTCCTGGATGCCCTTCTTTCAAGTGATAGTGCAGTGGGTGATCTGAGTACACACACCCTTGCTACAGAAAACAGTCCCCTTTCTCTGCTGCTGCTAAGGTTTTATTGTCAGAAACTAGGAATGGTTTCAACGGATCATTTATCTATTGCTATTTAGTGACTCTCAGAAACAAAGGCTGAAAATTCACTATAGGCAAAGAGCACAGAAAGAGAATGCAGGCAGCAAGGGATCCATCCAGCAGCCATCTGAGACTGGGCAAATCAGGGACCTCCCCGAGGTCATTCAGCCCATGATAATACCTGCCCTGCCTATTTCATAAGGTTGTTAAGAAAATTAAATGAGATAATGTCTGAGAATGTACTCATAAAGAGCTGCATAAGAACACTTTGAGAGGGACTCTGAGGAATTTTAATTTCTTTCTTTTTTTTTTTTTTCCTTTTTGTCTTTTTTTTTTTTTCGTGTCTGGCAACGGATCGCAACCCTCAGTGTCGCGCCCGTACCGGACCGGGACCGGCAACGGGATCGCAACCCTCGGTGTTGCGTCCACACCTCGCTCAGCCAGTGAGCGGGAACCGGTCTGTATGTGGGATCCGAACCCTCGGCGGGAGCGCCACCGCACTCCCAAGCGGCGCACTGCAGCAGTGCGCCACCGGGCCAGCCCAGGAATTTTAATTTCTTGGCACAGAGAAAGGACTTAGACTAAAATATTTATTATAGTTATACTTAAATCAATTAATTGTATTTAAAACATACAACCTTAAAATATATATATTCCACCATCAAAGATGCTATAATCTAAATGGAAATGAAGATATACCTGCAATGTATATATACACACTTCGGGAAAAAGAATTTTAAAAAAGGACAAGAGTCTTGAATTCAAATGCTGACTTCTGGATAAAAACAAGCAAATGTTAAAATAACACCACCAAAAGTATTAAAGACAATAAATACCATTCTCCCTTATTACTCTAATTCAAAATAACCTGATATAGAGAAAGAAAAATTACATTTCCTCCTGAAAGGCCGGCCCCAATTAAAATTCTAAATGTCTCTTACACCAAGAGCACTGGTTTATTGGCAGATTATTAAGCCCTGGACCAATGTCACTCTGTTAGACCTGTATTAAAAACGTGGTTTATGTGGTGCAGGGTCAGATCAGTACAGAGCTGTTAGCAGATGACAGGTTTGATTACCGCTGGCTGCAGGCAAGATGTATGGATCCCTGAGGAACAGCAGCACTGGCTGGTGGGACAGTTTGCTGGAAAGGTCAAGAACAGGCATGTCAGCATCAGGGGACGACGGTAAACAGAAAACACTACAAACTAGCTTTGAGGGGATCAAACTGCGGTGCAGGGACATCTCCAGGTTTATGTATCTAACGGTGTGAGTGAATAACAGCAGAGGGAGAAGGAACGAACTGGGCCCGCGCTCATCTCCTAAACACTGCTTTGTGGAATCTGAAGCAGATATACGATCTATACAATAAATCATCGCTGAAAAGTGCTTTCTTGGAAATCCTGTAGTATGATTATTGATAAAACTGTATTCTTATTACTCATATGAAACAAGGTAGGGCTCTTAGGTGCATTCCTTCACTACTAATTGTAACTGCTTACTCCTGTAACTCCCTATCAAATATTTATCATCTTAAAACCGGTTTCTTAACAGAGGTTTGCAAGAAAAACATGACTTGAAACACTTATACCATGGGTAACTAAACATTTAACAAAATCATACTCTTATTCTAGGTCTGTGTAACTCTTGATTGACGAATATTAGTTCTTACCTTGACTCTTCAGATTCTGTCTCATCAAAAGATCTGAAATTTTTGTAAAAGGAAAGAAAAAGACTTTATAAGCTGGGTCAATGTTTGTGCCGACAAGGAAAAAATAGCCAGTATTCTTAGAGCACTGACTTGGGAAACATGCTTTTAAAAAAAGATGTGTGAGTTTTCACTGAGCCATAACATGGCGAATGCCTCGTCCTAAGAAATATTCTTGGATTTCAATTTTCCTGAAAATCACTTAAAAATCCTAAGGTTTTGTTACTGCTTTTGGGCTTGGAAAATGGAGAAAAGATTTTATTCACTATCATTGCAATGTTTCTTCTTAAAAATACATGAACATACACAAAGCCTAACCTCCCAGGAAACACACACAAGTTGGAACAGAACACACTGACAAATTACTGCTTTTGGGCTTGGAAAATGGAGAAAAGATTTTATTCACTATCATTGCAATGTTTCTTCTTAAAAATACATAAACATACACAAAGCCTAACCTCCCAGGAAACACACACAAGTTGGAACAGAACACACTGACAACACAGCTTATTCAGGAAGTGTAGTGTATCATTCTTGCTCTGGGGTGAGTGGCAAGTGGCCTTGAATAAACAGTGCCAGTGAGGAGAGGTGACAGGTGCTGGCGGCCTCTCACCCAATGGACGGCTGGGGTTTAACATGGCTTTAGTTAGTGTGGTTTCTTCTTCACGCAGGTCTGGAGGCAGCAAAAAGAAAAAGAAAAAAAATGGGTAAAACCCTTTCCCTTGCTTGTATTCACAGAAAGTTTGTGATGACTTGTTTCTCTGTAAATGGATTTACTATGCCAGGGACACTGCTGACTGCCTTCTGAGGCTAGCTCAGTCCAAGTCATGTGCCTGTAGCTAGGCAAGTATCTTGTTTAAGAATTAATTCTTTAGGAGATCTTTTTCCAGTTGCTGGTGATATGAAATTTCTTGTTCCTCTTAGAATCTGCCACCTGGCCATGAGAAGTTCCTGAGGAAGAGCAGCGGGAGAGTGGTAGAAAAAGTTGTACGATGGAAGGCCCAGGTTCTGCCAGTTACAAGGTGAGAGATCTTGGGACTTAATTCCTGTGTCTCTGTTTGCTCAACCATAAAATGAGGGGAGTTGAATCAAATCATCTCTAAGGTCATTGATAGCTTTCAAACTATATGAACATGTTCACCAAGGAGATATGGACCTTGCTCAAGTACCCACAAATAAACAAATTAATCCCCAAATAGGTTGTCTAGATTCATAATTCCCATCATGCAACATCACTCCATGTATCAACATAGTTCCTTAAATCTAAACATAAATTACTGAGCCTTGGCCATTTGGCTGCAAGAAGGGGATGAGGACTCGGGAGGGATTTTTTTCTACTACAAGCAGGGGGCGAGTGCGTGCCATCCCAAGCCAAAAGAATGGGGTGTCCAGGCAGGCCCTTCCGGCACCACTCTGGGATATTTGTTAGGCCAATCTGTTATTGAACAGTAACTTAAAACACACAGCCTTTATGTAAACAACAGTTCTTACCCACAACTTTCTGCCTTTGGTAGAGAGGGCAAGTGTCGCACATTGAGGAAATCAAGAAACAGTTTGGGAAGTTCTTCATTTTCCAAAATGACAGACTGTGAAAGAAGAAAACAGAATTAGAAACTGAAGTGAAGTTTGCTAGACGATCAATCAAGAGAACTATTTCAAAAAGTCATAACCATCCATCAAAGTTCTTACCAGCAACATCACTTACCATCAGCCTGAGGACTGGTCCCCATTTCACCCACCAAGAACTAAAGCTGACACACATGTTGTGCAGCATCAGCAAATGCTGCATTTTATCTATTCGTTCATTCAACCAGCATTTATAGAGCACCCACTATACACTCTGGTAGCCGACTAAAGGACAAGACAGTGGGGAACTAGGTAGACATGGTCCCTGCCTTCACAGATTCTAATTCACAGTGAATATTTCAAAACCTGGGAACATCAATAATACCGCTAAGATATATAAATCAAATTTTCCTTACTGAGTGATAAAGTGGTCTCAATACATACACATGTATATCTGCACAGGAGACCACTACTGTTTAAGAAATACTATAAATGGTTTTTCTAACTGAAGATTTAGGCAAGACCCCTCAGCTATCACCTGTTTTGGCATTAAACTGCCATTTATAGTCATTTGGACAGCTCCACTTAAAGGATCAGTAACAACTTTACCACTAAGTATAAATCTGTGTATATACTGAAAAAAATCTATAGAATTCTTCCTTTTAGGGAGCTCTGTTAAATAGCTGGCATAAAGGCATAACCATGTCAGTACTCAGAAATCCAAATTATGCAATTTCCAGGAGAAATCTGATAGAGGACTACAGAGTGCATTTTCATATCTACATATTTTCAAAGTCTGCCAGGGTGTGTGAACTGACTGCACTCCCCTTTTTTCCAAAAATTGTGGGAGAAAAGCATCAAAGATTGTATAAGAATCTCTGATATTAAGGTAGCTGTTCTTAAGAATCATTTTTCATAACTTATTATGGGTAAATTTTTTCTAATAAGCACATGTTTAAAGAACAGTGAGAACTGATGGTGAAATATCATTCACTCAGCTTATCAGGAACAGCTATGTAAGCTGATCTATAACAAACACCAAGGTCAAGGGTTTGGATCCCCATAACAGCCAGCCATGGCCGCACCCCCCCAAAAAAAAGATACATAACAAATGACAAAAGCAAGGTCAAATGATATGTCTTTTGCATATACATAATTCTATATAGCATCTTGTTTTTAGCCATAATTTACATTCCGAATTGCCCCCTTTCTCATGAGTCTTTGGAATACTGTTACCCAGCTGAGGATATACAAATGGAGTGAGCGACTAACAGGCTGCCAGCCCTACCGGGCTGACCTACGCTACACGACACCAGTGCTCGCTCACCTGCTGTTCCGTCCCTGTGAGGGTCATCTGGAAGGACAGCTCTGCCTGGGGCTGTTACTATTCCTTATACAGCCCACTAAACCCACTGAAGCTCAAGAAAAGAAAAGTATTCAGATGTTACACTTTATTCATTTAAATAAATATTTACTGGGCATCTATTATGTTGGGCACTAGGATGTAGCAGTGAATACTACGGGTCCAGTGAAGTGTGGGCTGGTGCAGAAGACTAGCAGTAAACAAGTAAACACACACACATAACAACAACTTCAACTTGCCTTTGAATGGAGTAATATAGAATGGAAATACTGTACTGCTCTCTAAATGTCTTCCTATCAACCCTTCCATTCACCCACCCTTCCAGTAACAACAACTTCAACTTGCCTTTGAATGGAGTAATATAGAACGGAAATACTGTACTGCTCTCTAAATGTCTTCCTATCAACCCTTCCATTCACCCACCCTTCCATCCATCCACCCACCCATCCACCCATCCATCCATCCATCCGTGAGTGTGCAGATACATATAATTCTTGCTCTTTTCCTGATATAAAAACAGAAAAATGAAGAGTTCAGGAAATAAAAGGGGTGGGGGGAACCTTTGCCCAGAGGCATAATTTCATTACTATTTCAGTTAATTTCCTTCCAATCATTTAACCTTCACCTAAATTTTTACCTACACAAGAAAATTTTGGGGTGCTCAGAAGTTATTTCAGTGCCTAGAACTCCTCACACATATGAAACTCCAAAAGATTTTTACAATGATTATCAAGTTATTTTTAGATAAATGTTTAAGAGGATGATATAATACCCATTTGAATAAAAAAGCTTACTGTTGTAACAAATACAGAGCTATTCAACCAGGCAATAGCTTTAATTATCTGTACAAGTGGTAGCTTTCAGATTAAAAAAAAAAAATGGGGGAGGGGGAAACATTCTTATCTCCACCCCCACCTTTTTAAAATAAATTAAATCAATAACAAGTGTGGGACACTTTTAATGACCTGAACTACTTAATTTCCAGGATCTTTAGACATGTCATCCATCACCGCAGTATGGAGGAAGACATCTCTTGAGTGTTCAGGGGGTTACTTTAGTTTTATTAATGCAAGATTTAGGGAATTTTAACAAGGTGAATTGTTTATTTGCCTTGACAGATTGGCTTACAATGCACTGGCTACATCTACGGAATGATCATTAATGACAAAAGACAGGCAAAAAGCTGTTTACACTGCAGCACAGGGATGGGAATTAATCCTGCTCAGCCTCCCCAACAGAGTTCTCCAAATAGATGATCACATTGTTTTAGGTAAGATACACTGGCAGAAAGGGATACAAAAAACTCCAGAAATTTGTGAGTATTTATTTTTCTTAAATGCTCACTGAGTATGCTCAAATAATATTTTCCATAAAACAATGACCAATATGTACTTTAGGATTTATAATTATAAAGAAGGCAGCATTGGGGGGTTAGTTAAGAATTTGGTTGTGTGGGCAGGAATATTTCCTAAACTCTGCGAAGTAAGCTTATAAGAAAAGAATTCTTAATTCCAAACAGAGATAAAGTGTAACATAGTAGAATTTACCTAATTTAATATATTACGTACAAGTGAAATGACTGTCATTAATTAGTACAGAGATGCAAAAAAGGAATTAAATTAGTTCAACCAAATCTTTCTGTTCATAAACATATGATCTCATCCATGAGGGACTGAACAGTGAAGTGGAGCCTTACAACTGTTCATTTACATCTTCTTCAGTTTCTTGAAAGCTTTTGCTCAGGAGGAACCACCCTTTCTGAAAGCTTCACGTTGGGTCATCCCATACACTCAGGACCCTAGTCTGGTTTAAATCACCCAACTTTTATTCAACACATAAGCTCTTAATTTTAAAAAATTACGTTTTGAGTATCAAAGCATATCTCCCCATTGTTTTAGATTACTTATCTTTATTTTTGATTAATCTTCAATGGTTTAGTCCTGTTCATGATATAGAGGGGTAGTGTGGTATAGGAAATATGTGGGCTTCAGAACAAGAACTGGGTTTGAATCCCTCCTCTGTCTACCTTAAAGCGTTGTTGTGAGGATTAAATGAGATGTCTCCAAGAGTCTTTGGTACACAATGAGCATTCAATAGATTTTAATTCTCCTTCTCTTGTGTGTTTTTGTTGTACCAATTCCCAACAACCTATTTTATCTGTTTTGGAAGTTTGGATTACTGTCCAACTAGAGAACACAGCTTCTTAGTCCACTATGACTCATGGATCCTTTCAAAAATCAGATAAAAGCTGAGTATCTTGATTGCTGAAAAATACACATACATATATAACTGTGCTTTCAGTGGCAGAAGGTTCACAGACCCCTGACTGCCCAGCCAAGGACACCTGCTCTTAGCTCAGACGTGGCAGTGACACTGCTGGGCACACTTTTCACTTGGCCTAGAGCCGGAGGCACTGTGGGTCTGTGCTGCATGCCTGCTCCCCAAAGGACGTGCTGGTCTTCCTATTTCAGTTTTCCACCTCTTTGTCAATTAGAACCCCACTAGAGTATGTGCTGCCCCACCATTGGAATGCATTAATACTTTCAGCTCTGGGCTGCAGTTGAAAATATTTGTTTGGCAGTAAGACTATCATGGTAGAAGATTCTCTCTGACACACCAAAATCTACTGCCACACCGATTCTAGAAAGTAGTTCATATTCCTGGTTTCCGTGTCTTCTGTATATAACTCTATATAACACAACAATCAGTAGAGGGGGAGGGTTTCCAAAGTTACCAAAACATTAAGGAAAATATGATTTTCACCTCCATTACTGTTGGGTCACAGCCCAGCTGGTGAAGCACTAGAATGCTATACATGCTATGAGAGGGGCATTTTCAACTTCCAGGCAGTGGTGGGTCCCAGGCCCAGTGCTGTCTAACTAATTACCTAGTGGCTCTGATGTCCTGATGCTGCTCATCCCTTTCCTGGATGCAGGTTGGCATGCATGCCACAGCAACCAATTTATGCAGTAAAACATCAGAATTCAAAATGAACCTGACAAGTGGGAGAAAAAGCTAGAAATAAATCCCATTACATTTTACAGTTATAAGAACTGAGTGAAAGACTGTAAGAGGCAGAATTAATTACCCAGATGCAAGACAGAGAGAGGAGCTGTTTACATCCAAGTGCTGTGGGTCTCCAGCAGGAGGTCAGCAGGAAGCGCTGCTTCTACAAGGTGTCAAATGAGCTGAGCAATCCTCCTGCTCCACTTAATGCCATATTATCAAGCCCCCAAAGAAAGAGAAATAAGAACAAGCCTTGGAAGGGCTGGAGGCAAGCAATGAAAACAACTGAAAGACTCCAAAATAGTTTCCACAGAAAAAGCTCATCCAATAGTGGGTAGCAGGCATGGAATGAGGCAGTGGAGGGCCAAAGGGATAGTGATCTTTAATCTAACTAACCACTCTGTTAAGGAGGGTGGCCACTGGCTACCCGGTATTTTCAAAGCTTCTGGAACAAGAAGAAAGTACTGTCAAAACCAGCAGGGAAGGAATCTATCTCTAATTGAAGCCGCCTGTGCAATAAAGCTAGCAAAAGGGGCACACGTATGGGAAGAATAGGCATGGAAGAATATCTAAATATCCTGGGCTCTGTAATACATGCAGATTGAAGATGCTACAGAATTAGCAGAAAAATACACTAAAGAAATTTCCATC